GCTGAACCGTCTCCATGACTCTCAGATTTTAATACTTGACAATCAAAAATTTCATAGATACGATAAAGATTTGTGACTTACTTTTAACACATGTTAAAAATGTATATAAGTATTTTTTTTTAACAAAGCCAGATGTAATCTTAGCTGAAGCAGTATCCAACCTTGGCTACATAGTAAGTTCCAGGGCTGCCTGAGCTAGAAAGAGACCTTGTTTCAAAAAAAAAAAAAAAAAATTCATGAAAGTTCCAGGAAGTGGCACTGCCCTATAATCCTAGCAAAAATAATGAGACTCTCTCAACAAAAAAAGCCCAGGAAGTTCCTTAAAAGGGCCAGGAAAGGCAGCTCAGTCCATAGAGGCCATGCCTAGGTTTGGTTCCCCGTGTCCATACAATAAGAGCGTGGCTCACCTGCAATCCCAGACCTCATGAGGTGGTGGCAGGAGCATCTGGGAGAATTCAAAGCCATCCTCTTGTACATGTTGAATTCCAGACTGGCCTGGGCTACTTGAGATCCTCAACAACAATTTAAAAAGTGTTTTTTTGTTTGTTTGTTTGGTTGGTTGGTTGGTTGGTTGATTGACTGATTTTTTTTTTTTTTGAGACAGGGTTTCTCTGTAACAGTCCAGGCTGTCCTGGAACTCACTCTGTAGACAAGGTTGACTTCGAACTCAGAGATCAGCCTGCTGGGATTAAAGACTTATGCCACTACCACCAGGTTTAAAAAAAAAAAAAAAAGTAGGGCTGGCCGAATATCTCAGAGGTTAAGAGCACTGACTGCTCTTCCAGGGATCCTGAGTTCAATTCCCAGCAACCACTCGGTGGCTCACAACCATCCGTTATGAGATCTGATGCCCTCTCCTGGTGTGCAGATAGAAATGGAAGCAAAATGTTTTATAAAAAAAAAAAAAAAAAAAAAAAGTAAAGTTGTTTTGTTTTGCTTTTGGAGACAGGGTTTCTCTGTGTAGCTTTGTAGACCAGTTTAGCCTCGAACTCACAGAAATCCACCTGCCTCTTCCTCCCAAGTGCTGGGATTAAAGGCGAGCGCTAGCACAGCCTGGTCATAAAAAAAAAAAAAAAAAAAAGTTCTTAACGAAGGAATGTAATAACAATAGCAAGGTAGTAGGTTGAGGAGCATAGGAGTAAATGACCAGTGGAGGCTCTGAACATCCTATGACCTCTCACCCGCCCTGCACCTCCCAGCCTTTAGCAGGAGGCTGGGCAGGACGTAAAAGGCAATAACAAAATAAGCCAGTGAGATTTTTCCTATTCTTTTGTCTATTCATTCTACAACTATCTATAGAGCTTCACGAATGCTGGAACTGGAGTCTGTGAATCCCTGTTGCTTTCTGACAAGCTGCTTGCTCTTTTAGGGTCTGAAAGAATATTTAGACTGAATAGAGTTCTGTGGAGATTCTGTATAGAGAGAAGCCTCAACCATTGTACCGATCGATCGCAATCATTTCATGATTAAGTGAAACGGAGATTGGTGGCTGCGATAAAAATATTCTCCCAGCCTCCGAGGAGGTTTCCACACGGTTCTGAGTACACAGCCTAGCAAAGGATGCTCTCCCTACAAAACCCCTAACGCGCCA